TGCTGTGCTTGGTTAATAGTTGAAGAGCCACTCGCTCCTAGGCTGTTTTCCCAATGGCTTCATACCGATGGGCCTTCAAGATTCTACAATGCTGTGTCATTCAAACACCGTAAGCGCAGGAGGAAAACCTGCACATTTAGGTGAATCTCCAAGGACCTCTCTCAGTAAGAAGTCTCCCTGTCTGTTTAGTGTATTGACTATGTGAAACTTAAAAACGGGCACTTGGGTTGCTTAAGCAAAGACCATGTTGTTGGGATGCCTGGCCTTGCCAGGCCTGGGGCTCTTGGGCCATGCAGCCACCACGTGGCCTACTGAGGGTGTGACTAGCTTTCTTTTTTTTTTTTGAGGGTGTGACTAGCTTTCTTGTAGAGGTGCTGGGGGTCTTTCCTGCTGCCTCCAGGTGGGCATAGGTGGGGTGTCTCCAGCACTGGCCCCGTCGTGGATCCAGGAAGGGTGGGTCAGACAGGGTGGGCTACCGATGGGGCCTCACAGCCGAGTTGTCCTCTGAGGAATTTGCCAGTTGAGAGCCTCCAGACCACCCCACCCCAGACCCTGCAGTAGGAGGTGGAGGGCAGCTCACTGCCCTCTGGGGAGGGGTAGCGTGATGACAGCCCCGGCCCCTCCCTCCCTCCGGCTGGTTCATCACATCTCCTCTGCAAGTCATGTGTGTCTGAGACATCACTACATAACTCAGGGTCTACGGATTTTCTAGTACGTTTTCCTCTGGAAGTTTTGTAGTTTCAGGTTTCATATTCAGACTTTTAACCTGCTTGTGTTCATTTTTGTATGTGGTCTGAGTTACGGGTTCTGCTTGTGACACCCAGCACCGTTACCCTCTGTCCTCTGAACGAATCGCCCTCTCACTTGGTCACACATCAGGCAACCCAACACACGTGGTTCTGCTTCAGGACTCCCTGTTCTGTTCAGATGGTCCATGTGTCTGCCTTTGCACCAGCACCACAGTCCTGATCCTGGTCCCTTTATAACATGGCTCAAAATCTGCCGAGTTGGCCCCTCTCTGTTCTTCTTTCTCATTTGTTTTGGCTATTCTGAGTGCTTTGCATTTCTGTGAGAATTTTAGAACCAGCCTGTCAATTTGCAGCAAAAAAGTCTGTTAGGATTTTGACTGGGGTCAAGTTGAATCTATAGACCAATCAAGGAGAATAGACCTCTTACTAATGTTAAGCTTCCAGACCCACTGACACTCTGTTTATTATTTTTTTTAATGTGGACCATTTATAAAGTCTATTGAATTTGTTACAGTCTTGCTTCTGTTTTAAGTTTTGTTTTTTTGGTCTCGAGGCTTGTGTGATCTTAGCTCCCTGACTGGGGATCAAACCCACATCCCTTGCGTTGAAAGAAGTTTTAACTGCTGGGCCACCAGTGAAGTCCCTCTCTATAGCTTTAGTTTTTGGGGTGCGCATCCTGCACTGTCGATTTCATCAGTTTGTGTAGGTGACTGCGTGTCGTGTGTGTTTTAGTGGACATGAGGTCTTCTTCTGGTCTATGGGAGCATCTGGGGTGATGTCAGCAGCAGGGTCTTCACAGGTGCCTTGCGTTAGGACAAGGGTGTTCTCTATTACACCTCCTGCACTGACTTTCTGTCAGGAAGGTATGTTGGATTTTTGTCAAATGTTCTTTTGTGTCTCTTAAGGCAATCATAGTGTTTTCTTCTTGTGTAGTTTGTTTATATGGTGAATTACATTGATTGGTTTTCAAATGTTAAACCAACTTTTCATTCCTGGTATAAACCTCACTTGATTGTGCTGATGTATTATTTTTTTAGTATATTGTTGATTCCATTGGCTGATTTGTTAATGTTTTGTCTAGAATTTTTGCATTTTGCTCAGGAAGGGTCTTTTTCTCTAGATTTCTTGTGATGTTTTGGTATCAGGTAACGCTGGCTTCACGGAGTGAGTCGGGGAGTGTTCCTTCCTTTTCAATTTTTGGGAACAGTTTGTACATAATTGGGATTATTTCTTCCTTAAATGTTTGGTAGGATTCACCAGTGAAGCCCTCTGGACCTGGAACTTTCTTTTGTGAAGATTTTTGACTCTGTGTCAAAATATATGGATGGACGTAGTGTATGCTGGTCGAACCCTCTGCTGCTTTTCCTGCACAAGTTTTGGTCAAATTCACTGGTGTAGTTTTTCGCGTATCCTTTTTTGCCCTTTTAATGTCTGTAGACTCTAGTCTTGATGTTGAGAATCTGTGTTTTTTTTTTTCTTGCTCAGTCTGAGTAGAGGTTTTCGAGAACCACCTCTTGGTTTCATTGATTTTTCTCTAGTGTTTTTCTATTTTCTATCATCGATTTCCACTCCACACTTTCTCCTACTTACATGGGTTTCATTTTCTCTCCTTTCTCTAGTTTCTTGTGGGAGCTGAGACCAGTGAATGAGACCTTCCTTCTCTCTCCTGTGGGTGTTCAGTGCCATAAACCCTCCCAAGCTGCAGCATCCCACAGATGTTGGTATGTTGTGCTTTCATTTTCACTCAATTCAAGATCCTTCTTGTTTCCTTTTCCATTTTTTCTTTCCCCCAGGAGTTGTTTTTTTGGAAATGTGTTACTTAGTTTCTAGATGTTTAGGGATTGTTTTCAGAGAGCTTTTTCTGTTATTAATTTCCGATTAACTCCACTGTGGTCAGAAAACACACATTGTATGATGTGTAACTCTTACCATGACTTGTTTTACTTCCCAGAATGTGGTCTGTCTTGGTAAATGTCCTGTGTGCACTTGAAACTAAGTTCTTTCCTGTTGTTGTTGAGTGAGGTCTTTTACAAACCAGTATACTGAGTTGGTTGATAGTATTCAAATCTTTATCCTTACCTGTTGTAACAGTACTGAGAGAGGAGTATTGAAGTAACTATTTCTGTTTTGCAGATTTATCGGTTTTACTTCATGGACTGTAAGCTCTGGCATCAAGTGCTTGAATGTTTAGGATGTTATGTCTTCTTGGTTAATTGTGAAACAATCTTCTCTATCTTGGTAATAATGTTTGCTCTGAAATCTACTTTGTCTAAAATTTATACAACCACTCAGCCTCCTTTCCACCAGTGTTAGTAGAGTGACTGTTGTGCCAGCCTGTTGTGGTTAGCTGGTTTGTATCTTTATAAGTAAAGTGTATTTCTTGTAGCCAGCATACAAGTGGATCATTTTTTATCCAGTCTGACAATCTCTGCCTTTTAATTGAGATGTTTGGCCATAAGCATTTAATGTTATTATTGACGGGGTGAGGCTTAAATCAGCATCCTTCACTCCTTCATGTCCAGTGTTTGGAAAGCCCTTGCATATTTGTCTGTTTTGTGTGTGTGTGTGTGTGTTTCAGGTGAGTGGGTAAATGCCATCCTTCTTGGCTAGGAGTAGAAAGGACAGCAGTAATAAATGTCATTCAGTATTCAGTCCGTGTTCAGTTCTTGTCGATTGTGTCAAAACTATCTTGTTCCAGTTGGTGTGTATGCATCAGGATCCAAATGAGGTTTGCACGTTGCACTCGGTGGGCATTGCACTTGGTAGACGTGACTCCTGAGCCCCTCACTTTCTTCCATGTCATCGACTCTGGGAGGAGAGTGAGTCACTTGTCTAGTAGGGTGTCTGGGTTTGGGTGATTACATCTTTGTGATGATGTGCCCCACTCTGTCCAAGAGTCCCGTTCAGTGGTGGTGCGGGGGCAGAGCTCTGAGAAGCAGAGCGAGGAACATGCCTGCTCCACCACACCTGGTGGTCCCCGAGTGTGGGGGACAAGTGGTGGCCTGGGTCTGTGCTCCTCCCACTGGCCTGCAGGAGGGGTGAGGACGTGATTCCGTGGCTGATTTTGAAAGCATTACCTCATCAGCAGAGAGGAAAAAAAATCAATGGCCTTTAAATCTGTGTCTTGACATCCCACACCAGAAACAAGGTTTTGTGCCAAAGATAGCGTTTTTGAAGAACAGCTGAGCCCTTTAGACAGAAAGGGTGCTAGTCTAGGATAGGAGCTGAGGAGTCACTCAGATTCCCCTCTTACGGCTGGATGGCCCTTCTGGTCACTCCTGAGGAGCCCTGGCTTCCCCACATATAAATGGATCTCACCCCACCCAGCCCAGGCTGGTTTTGAGTGTTAAGTGAGCTCAGGTGAAAACACTTAAAATTGTTAGGTGCTGAGTTGATGTTGGTGTGATTTTTACTGTTGGAATCTTGACATCCCTCGATTCTTGGAACAGTGTGGACGTCCTATCCATCCTTGTGGCTTGAGCCTGGGGTCCATGTGTGAACACAGGCTGCTTCCTCTGACCAAGGACAGTTTACCCTGCGAGGACCTCTCTTCACCCCTCGGTGGACCCTGCCTTGATCCAGCTACTCTGGAGGGGGAGGGTCCCCCAGGCCCCCAGAAGGAACCATGTGCAGGTTCCTGTCCTGAAAACTGACCATCCAGATGCCCTCCCGACTGAGAGTGAGTTGGCCAGCTGGTTTTCATGCCAGAGCAACAGGCAAGGTGATTGGGGATAGCAGAGGCAGAAGGGGCCCTGGGGGAGCCCCCTCCCACTTTGCCCCACCATTAGCTGCTGAAGGTTGAGAGTCTGGGCCTGATGAGTTTGGAAAAATAAAAGAAGGTTTCTGTGGCTAAAAAGTGAAAGCTCTGGGCGGGTAGGGCCAAGGGTCTGGGACAGTGGGCGTGTCCAGTGGGAGAGGGTGACTCTGGGTTCATCCCAGTCTCCCTCCCCTTCACGGTCCTGACCCCATGTCCATGGAGTGTGTAATTGTGAGTGTGTTCTGGACCCTGGGTGGGGGAGCCTAGCTGCTCAGGGCTGAGGGGCTCAGCTGCCCCCTGGTCTCCTGGCCTCCTCCTGCTTCAGTGTTCAGCTGCTTCCAGAAGGACTTTGTGTTGTTTGCACAGGTCGTCCCCCACTGCGGAGGTGGGCCTCGACCCCTCCCCGTACCTGCCCCTGCATGACCCCCCCATGTGACCTGTCCCCCACCGGCAAGGGCCCCTTGGGTCTCAGCTGCTCTCTCTGCACGTTGTAGGTCGCGAGATGGGAACACAAGACCCGAAAGCTGAGCAAGGCCTTTGGGTCCCCCCGCCTGGCCTGCTACACCCTGGGTGGGGCCATCCTGCTGCTGAACATCCTGCGCTCCCACTGGTAAGGACCCCTCCCCTCCCCCGCTACCCCCCACCTCACCCCAGGCCCCTGGGGGAGCCCCCTCTTCCACCCCATCCCCACCAGGGAAGAGGTGGGAGGTGCCTGGGGTGAGGGGTGAGAGGTGGGGCGGGGGGACTAGGCTGGGGCTGCTCTGAGCCCACCTCCCCCACTGGCTCTGCTGGCTCAGAGAAACCCCCACTTGGGCTCCACCTGGAGAGGTGGCCCCACACAGCGAGCAGTGACCTGGGTGGGGGGGGAGGGCAGCCAGGCCAGCTCGGTGGAACCCCTCCACAATGGGGTTAGTGCTGCACACCCCCTTCCTCCCCCAGTTACCCTGAAAACTCAGCTTGCGGGTGAGGGGGGGTGTGGCGGGGCGGGGGGGGGGGGGTAGACCCAAACAGCCCCACCTGGTGGGCTGCCCAGTGCAAGAGCTACCCTTCCACTCGACTGGCTGCTTTCCTGCATTCTTCCCTAAGGAGCCTTTGCAGGCACTCTGGCCCTTCTGAACGAGTGAGCGAGTGAATGAATGAATGAGTGAGCACAGAGCATCCCCCATGGCCCCTTCTCCCTGGCTGTCACCGAGGGGGCATTTAAAGCTCCTGAAACATCAGCGTCTCAGGAGATGGGACATGCTGCCTGTTTCCCTTCAATAATGTGCTGTTTCTAGTTCTTGTGTATTCTTGGCCTCCTGAGTCCACCATGTAGGGGAAAAAAACCCCAGGCCCAGCCCCGCCACTGTTCCTATGGGGCGGAGCCTGGTGGTCCATCCTACCCTGCAGGTGGGCTGCACCAAGGTGAGCGGCCAGGTGGGTGTGGGGGGAGCGGAGGGGCTGACGGGGTCCTCCATGTGGCCCCGACTCGAACCCCTTTGGCCAGCGGAGGCGGGCCTATAGACAAGCTGCTGTCCCTCCCATCCTACTGCAAGGCTGGCGCTGGCAGGACGTGTCGCATCCTGGGCCCTTGAGAGGCCTGGCGGGGGGGTGACCCCAGGCCCAGCCCCTCTCCCAGTGTCACCGTCAGCCTAGCCTATGTCTACCTTTTGGCTATGGCTTTCCTCCCGGATGAACTAACCACTCAGGGAGTTTGGGGGCAGAGAAAGGACCCCTCCACCCCAAGTAGGCTGTTTTCCCTTCTCTCCTCTGTGGTCCTCCTCCTGTTTGCCCCCTGCTGACAGGTCTGGGGGGGGGGGTGGTCAGGGGCAGGGCTTGTGGGAGTCCTGCTCTCCGGCTCCCCAGCACCCTTTACCTGTTGCTTTATGTGGTTCCTGCAGGTGGGTTTTCTGTGCCTTTGTGCAGGTGTGGGTGGTAAAAGACACGTTACTAAAATTGACCATTTCAGCCACCTTGAGGTATAGTTTTGTGACCTTTAGGACCTCTCCCTGGGAGTGATGTCTGTCAGTCAGCTCACAGGGCTGCGTCCAGCCCACCTGCTCTATAGACAGGAGAGGTGGAGGGGTGGGAGGGGGCTGAGCTGTGACCCGAGCTGCCAGCTCTCAGAACTGCGGGTTTATCAGAGCCCAGGGAGGGTGCAGGGGTGGGGCATGGGCGTGGCCACCTGGCACCGCTCGGGGTGTGCGGCTCTGAGCCAATCCCAGCGGCTCAGCCTGGAGCTGCGGGGTGACCCTGAGCCCAGCAGCAGGAGAGGTGGGTGGAGAGCAGGGGGCGTGGGCAGTGTGACCGGGGGCCAGGTGTGCCCTGACACATGTGCCGCCGTTTGACAGGTCACCGTGCAGGCCTCTGCCCGTGGTGTCCTGTTTGCTGTTCAAACAGATGCTTCTCCTGCCTCCCTGTTCCCCTTCCTTCACGTTGAGGGGAGGGGAAGGGGGCTGCTTTTCCTGGCTGATGAACACAGACTGTGACCCCTTCTGCCTGGTGTGGGCCGGCGCCAGGGCTTTAGCCCAACCTAAGGAGACTTTGACGACATCTGGCTAATGGAGTGGACAAATGGGGATGGGACTTGCTCTGCTAGAAAGAGCCTGGCAGGGTGGTCCAGCGATTAGGACTCCTGCTTCCACTGCCGAGGGCACGAGTTCAATCCCTGGTCAGGGAACTAAGATCCCACAAGCTGTGGGGTGTGGCCAAAAGAAGGAAAGAGAGGGAGGAAGGGAGGATGGAGGGCCAGTGGGCTTCCTCATGACAAAGGGAGAGTTGGGTGGAGGTGTGAGTTCGGAGTCTCCTTCCCTCTGCAGTGCCAGTCACCCTCAGACTGAACACCCTGCTGTCCTGCAGAGTCTAAAATGTTGTCATTCATGATCTGTTTCTAAAAACCACTATGTGTTACAGACAAGTCAGGATTTCTGGCTTCTCTGGAAGCAGGCACCAGCCCCCTAGTCCAGTCACTTCTTCCGTGGCGGCCCCTCAGCAGGCCACTTGATTCATCCTCGGCACCCGCCAAAGACCCCTGGACAGGCTACTCTGGGGGCCTGGGGGCAGGGTGGGCAGCCCCTCTGCACGGCGGTGACCTCCCCGCCCTGCCCGCAGCTTCACACAGGCCATGCTGAGCCAGCCCCGGATGCAGAGCCTGGACAACCCCGCAGCCTACCACGTGGGCCTGGCACTCCTGGGAGTGGGCGGTGTGTTCGTCTTTTCCAGTTTCTTGGCGCTGGGCTTCACCGGAACCTTCCTAGGTAAGACCCTCAGTGTGGGGGGCTGGGGCCCTGCTCCCCACAACTCCAGGCTTCAGCCTGCCCTGCTCAGCATGGGGGGCCAGGCTCTCAAGCCCCAGCCAGCTGCTTGGCCTCCAGGATGGGCCGAGCTTCTTTTGCTGTGTTCAGGTCCGATCAGGGCTGGTGCAAGTCTGGCGCTGGTGACAGTTTGGGGTGCTGACCCCTCTGCTTGCCTGTGGCTCCGGAACTTTGGGGCTGAGAGTCCAGTGCTGGCAGGGCTGGATGTCCTAGACATCCAACTCCCAGTTGGGACTCCGGGGGGCGGGAGCAGGGCAGCTGATGTGCCGGGGGCAGTGGGGCCAGAGCAGAAGGCCAGCCAGGGATCATATCGCCTGAGTCCCTGAGGGCCATGCAGGGGACTGGGGCATCCTCCCAGGAGGAGAGTCCCGCAGGGGAGGTCCTCTGGGGGCCTAGGAGCAGCTGGGGATCGTGGTGTGGGCCTCACAGGGGTGGGGTGAGGGAGGAGAGGGAGGGGTGGTCCTGTCCAGCCAACCTCAGGAGACCAGGGGTGAGCAGCCCCACAGCAGGGGTAGGGGGAGGGCAGCCAGAGTCTGGAGGAGGGAGGGGGAAGGGCCTGGAACACCAGCTGCCTCGGGGCCCCCAGGAGAAATGGCCTGGAACGTGGGGCCCTCAGGCTCAGAGATGTAGGTCAGAGTGGCTGAGTCCCTGCCCCGCCCCACCCGTGAGCCACCCTGAAGCAGACTTCTGTGTCACCGGGAAGAAAGACTCCCCAGCTGTGAGTCCTCTGTCCCCAGACGGCGGTGATGGAGATGCACTGCTACTCCTCCAGGCCCACGTGTGCCTGGAGCGCAAGGGACACTGGAATCAGGAGGCCCTGGTGAGCAGTGCTGCTCCCTGCGGGCCATGCCCGGGCCGGGCTGGACCGCGCTGGACACCAGGCCTCTGTCCCCTGCCTCTCGGACCGCCACACCCTCCCCTGGGAAAAGCTCTGGGCTGGCTGCGGTGGGAGAGCTGATCTCCAGGCTGGCAGCCCAGGTCAGGGTGGCCCAGCTGAGGGAGGAGGGGGAGGTGGAGCAGAGATAGTGAGTAGGGGTAGGCCTGCTTTAGACAGTGGGGGGCAGGTGAAGGGAAGGTCTACAGGAAGCTCCACGAGCCGAGGAGATAGCAAAGGAGGAGAGGTGTCTGGAGAGCGGGGAAAGTCCCCAAGCAGAGGGGACAACACATGCAAAGGCCCAGAGACAAGAGCAGGTGGGGGTACAGCCTCTGGGGACCCCCCCCCAGTGCCTGCACACCTCCCTCTGGACGGGGCAGCCAGACTGTGACCCTCCTTCCTGCCCGCCCTGTTTGCAGGTGACTACTTCGGGATCCTCAAGGAGGCCAGAGTGACCATGTTCCCGTTCAGCGTCCTGGACAACCCCATGTACTGGGGCAGCACGGCCATCTACCTGGGCTGGGCCATCGTGTGAGTCAGCCCTTGTGCCTCGTGGAGCCCAGGGCACTGGTCAGGGCTCCTTTCCTGGGGAGTCCCTCACCAGTGGGAGTAGAGAACAACCTAGAACGAGGTTGGCAGACTTCCTCATAAAAGAGCGGGAGGCTCCTGGGCAGCAGGTGACGGAGTGGCCGTGGTTGCGAAATTTGAATTTCACATCATTTTCACAAGTCACAAAATATTCTTTTGATTTTCTTAAACAATTACAAATATAAAAGCTGTTCTTTGCCTGGGGACCACAGGCTGCCAACCTAGTGCTGGAACTGGGCAGGGAGGCCCCCTGCCCGCAGCCAGCCTGCAGGATCTGCATTCCACACACTAGGGCCCCTCCGGCCAGCAACCCGCAGTCCAGGAGCCTGGCACACACACCCTCCAGGGCAGCTCCCGTCTGTCCATTTCCTCGATTAGGACTTCTTCCATAGAAAGGTTTTCTTTGTAGAAAGAATTCTGCTTTTACCGAATGCTAGAAAACAACTTTCCAGGAAGGTCACAGGTGCCCCCACAGTCCAGAAGGATGACAGGACCTAAAGGAACAAACCTCAATGGTGGACCGTCTGGAACGGACGTTCCCCAACCAGCCCCACCTTCGGGGGGTCAGATACGTGGGATCCAACCTCTGGGCTTTGAGTGACAAGGAGCTGGAGGGGCACATGTGGGTCTGCTGGGACCCCCTGCCTGTGCCCCACTTCAGGCAACCCCCCATCCACCTGCCTTCAGCCTGGCCCCTCTCTCCTGGACTGGGGCAGTGGGATCCAAGGAAGCAGGCTCCCCCCACAGGCTTACCCACTCCCCATAGTGTCTCCGACCTGAGACTGGCAGGGGGAGCCCCACACAAATCCTCCTGCAAACTTCCCTGCCAGCACACCCACAGTTCCCTCTCACTTCCACTCCCAGTCAATCTTTCCAAACCCAACTTGAGGTGTCCCCTCCTCCAGGAAGTCCTCCCTGACCTCCCGCAATACACACACACACAGGTTCTTCCTCTGTGCTTAGATGGGGCCTCTCAGGGCAAAATCACAGAGTGGGTCTTCTCTGTCTCCAGGAGTGAGAGGTTGCCCCCTCTACAGGGCTGTTAGGCCAAGGTTCTCAAGAACATATGAGGAACCCTAGGGGCCCAGACTCCCACAGACCCCTCAGGAGGGCACCAGCCATTTGGTGATGAGGAGGGGCCTCCGATGTGCAGGGGAGGGAGCCCTTCGTCCGAGAGCTCATTAGACATACTCCATTACCTGCGGCTGCCAGACGCTGACCCAGCAGGGCTGCTCCCAGGCCTTCCCAGCCCATCTGTCCCCAGCCTGGGGCCCCACAGACAGGGCTTCCTGTTGGCCCAAGCAACCAGGTGTGTGGGAGCCCCAGAAGGTCCGAGGTGCTGGGATTCCCGGGGCACCAGCCTGTCAGCCTGAGTGAGACGCCCCCTCCCCAAGGTGCACAGCTGTGTCCCTGGGAACCCCCCCTACCCCACCCCAGGCTCCGGGCTCTGGCAGGTGGGTCCCTGTGGGCCTCAGTTTCCTCATCTGCAGTGTGGGACGACCACCTGCACACGGTTGTTCGGTGACAGTGCTTTCAAGTGGGAAAGTTCACATAGAACAGGGAAGGGCATTTGGCTCCCGTTCAGCATCTGTGCCCGGCTGACAAGGGGCTGGCTTCCCAGGCCGGGAGCTGGCCGCCTTAGGGATACTGTGGCCATGGAGCCCTGGCCCTGAGGTCCCCCAGCGGGTGGGGGTGGGGGCAGGGGGAGGCTCTGCCCACTCCAGGAAGCAGCACCAGGACCGTGAGCAGGGCCTCAGGAGGACAGATCTTGTTTCAGCCCCTAAGCATCTGTGCTCTTGGCATGTCCACGTGGCAGTGCTGAGGACCAGGTGGCCCCACTCACCCTCAAGGTCGATTTGAATGGAGTCCACAGAATGGAAGGTGGGGGTGTCATAGGGGACACTTGGCCTTCACTGTTCCTGAAGCCCCCAGAGAGACAGTGTGAGGTTCTGGGGAGTGGGGGTGGGAAGGCAGAGGGTCCCCGGGGGGGCACCCATCTGCCTCAAGCCCCCCTGCCTGGGCCTCAGGCTCCCCTCCAGCTCCTGGGCTCCATGAGCCAGCTCCCTTCATCTCCTCCTCAACTGTCTGAATGTGGGGGCCCAGCCCCGGCAGCAGTCACCAGCAGAGAGCCTGTGAAGGGGCTCACTGGACACCACCTGGCTTTGGGTGCCCTGGCCCGATTTCTAGAAAACAGCCCGAGAACACGGCTTCTGGTGGGCAGAGGCCCCACGACCTCCTGTGTGGAAAAGAACACGCTGACTGCTCGGGTGATTTGGGGAGGCCAGTCGTTTGTTTCTCCCTGTGTCAGCCCGGGCCTGGATGGGCAATGGTGAGGTGGACCCTCGTCTGAAAGAAGGCTGGCCTCGGGCCTGCCCCTGACCCAGCGTTTCCCCGCAGGCACGCCAGCCCCACCGGCCTGCTGCTGACCGCGGTGGTGGCACTCATCTACATGGTCGCCATCCTATATGAGGAGTGAGTAGGCGCTGTCATGGGCTGGGGATGCCATGTGCCCATGGGACCCGCACTGGGCCTTCCTCTCCCTCCAGGGCCTCCCTGTGACCCTGGCAGCTGGCCATGGCCAGGTCGCTGTCAGAGCAGCAGATGAGCAGCTAAGCGGGTACAGGACAGGCCTGGGAGCCGGGCTGGCAGTGCTGGCCTTTTCTGGTCACACATGGACCCCCAACCCTGTCCACCCTGGGTGGGAAGCATGGGTGGCAGTGTCAAGCTTAACACCAACTGACCAAGCCTCTCTCACCCCTGCAGGCCCTTCACCGCTGAAATCTATCAGCAGAAAGCCTCCCAGGCCTGTAAGAGGAGCTGACGGCTGCGGCCACTCCGTGAGAGTTCCCACCTCAGGCCTGCCCCGAGCACAGGCCCCTTGAGGGGGAGAGCGGTGCTTGGTGAGGACTGTCCAGTGCCTTGAGAACACGGCTTGAGGGCTCTGGACAGGCGCCTTGTGGCCCCAGAGCCCCCTGCCCAGCTGCCCGCCTTGTCCTGACTAATAAAAGGCGCCTGACCCATCCCCCTTTGGTCTCCATCTGTCCAGGTCAGGGAGGGGCAGGCTGGGGTCTGGGAGAGGGTCCCTAAGCTGGGAGGGGTGCCATCATCCACACTGGGCCGTGGGGGGACTGTCCAGGCCTTTGGGCCTCCTCTGCCCCCCACCTGACCCCACTGCTGCCCTTCCGGGGGACATCCCATCCTTAGCTTCCTGGGAGGGAAGCACTGAGCCCCTCCCCCGGCATCTCTGGTTACCCTGACATTTTTCTCCTAATGACCCATGGTCCTCACGTGGCCACAAGGAGCAGCCATGGGGCCACTGGGCCCGTGGTCAGGCCTGACTACAGAGCTGTGGGCACAGGGTGGGGCCCTTGTCCAGGCCCAGCCTCACCTGCACAGCCCCTAGCCCTCCAAGGGCACAGAACCTATTTTAATCCCTTTGGGATGGGAGACGGGGGGCTCCACCTGTGCACCTGGCCCCCTAGCCTCAGCATCCTCACCTGTGAAGTAGCCCCTGTAGCCATGCTCACCCTGGGCCCCTGGGCGCTGTGGGCAGTGCCAGCTGGCCCTGCCGTGGAGCTCCTCAAGGCTGCCCTCTGGTGTCTGGGATTCAGAGGTCTCAGGTTCGAGGAGCTGAAGGAGGCACGGAGGCAGGTCTTAGCAGTGCCTCTGCTTGCATACCTTCAAGGACAGGAAGCTCACCCCCTGTGGGCACCTCTGATGTCCTGGCCCCCATGGCCTGAGCTGTCTGTCAAGGCAGGACTGTGTGACTCCTGGGTCATGCAGCTGTGGGAGTCAGGCCTGGGGCAAGGAGGGTCTGCTGTGATGGGAACAGCCCACAGCTGAGGAGGAAACTGCTGGACAGCTGTGACCTCAGCTGTGGAGGCAAGGTCAGAGGGGAAAGCAGCTCTGATTAGCTATGTTCTCTTTGTCAGGCCATGGCTGTGGGCTGGGGTGACACAGGACCCTCTGTGCAAAGAGCTGCTGGGGGCAGTCTTGGGCGGCAGGCCAGCACTCAGCATGCCTCAACACAACTTTCAGGAACCTTCTAAACCACTCTTTACCAGCAGACCAGGCCATGGTGAACACTTCCTGCCTTGGGGGCCAGCTGTCTGCTTCCAGCCCACCCCCAATATTTTACCAAATGATTTAAAAGTTTCCCATTCCACTCTGAGCCTGAAATTTGCTTGCATTGCAAAGAAATCATACAGGCAGGTGCCCAGACCCAGAAAGCAAGACCATCGGTATCATCATAAACCTGGGCAACCTAGAATTAATGCAACGGCTGGAGGGTGGGGGCACACTCAGGGGAAAGAATGGCAGGTGGGCTCAGGGCCTAATGAACTTAGCTGACTTGAGGGACAAGTCCTAGAACCTGGCATCTGTGGGTGGAGTCATGCCCAGGTGCCGGGAATTGAGGTTGAGAACCCAGGCTGGGCTCAGTACCTGCCACTGTCACCAGCTGGAAGGTGCCAGGCGAGTGAGGTTATCCCAGTCCTGTCATCTGACCTGGGGTCGGGGCGGGGGAGAGGAAGGCTCTGACTCTGGGCTGGGTCCTGGCCCACTGGCCTCCCCAGGGAGAGCTGGACCCTGCAGCTGTGGGCCCTGGGCAAGTCATTCCCCTGCCTCAGTTTCTCTGTCTGTAAAATGGAGATAGTAATAGTTTCCACCCCTCAAGGCTGCCACAAAGAAAGACTTAAGGACTGTGCCTGAAAGTGAAAGTCACTCAGTCGTGTCTGACTCTTTGCGAACCCATGGACTATACAGTCCATGGAATTCTCTGGGGTGGGTAGTCTAACCCTTCTCTAGTAGATCTTCCTGATCCAGGAATCAAAGCGGGGTCTCCTGCATTGCCGGCGGATTCTTTACCAACTGAGCTATTTAGGGAAGCCCAAAGACTGTGCCTGGGATGGGATAAATGGGAACCAACATTTTCCTGGCTCCCCTGCAAAGGGCAGGAGATTCTGCTGGAATCCCGTTCACACAGGGCTGCCTGAGAAGCCCATGAGAGTCCAGAGGCCCTGTGCAAACCTGTGTTCAGACTGGTACCCTGGCACTGCCCAGAGCGTGGCCTGTGTGGATGGGTGGGTGGCACCAGGTGATAGCCCTGGCTCTTTCCCAAATCAGAAGCTGAGCACAGTCCAGCCTCGCCTGTCACCATGGGGAGCAATGGCCTTTCCACCAGTTCCAGGCTGGAGCCGGCCAGCTCCGGCAGCCTCTTCCTAGGCCTGTCAGCAGCAGCCCACTCCTGGTTACTGATCAACCTGCTGCCCCCTGGTTTGTTCTGCGGCCTCGTGGGTCATTTACTATTGTTGTTATTACCACGGCCCTACACTGTTTGCAAGTTCCCAATCAATCAGAGCCAAAGCTCCATCTTCCAGGAGAGGAATACCAAGTCCAGAGAAGGCCGGCGACTGCTGTGATGCCCACGCAGCATTCAGGCTCATCCTGGCTTCCAGACCATCTACCCCAACTAGAAAATGGGAATGCTGGCCCATGGGACTCCAAAGGCACAAGATGCTATGGGGGAAGGAGGGAGGGGACGTCGGCCTGACTACGGAAAGGCAAGCCTCTGGTCCTTCCAGGCTCCAACAGGAAGACGGCAGGGGCAACCTCTGGCTGAAACTCCTGCCAGGAACCAGCGCCTCTCTGGTTTGGAGAAAGGAGCTGAAGCCTGAGGTGGGGCGCGGGGTCCGGAAGCTCCTGCTTCGCGGATTCCAGCCCCGAGAGCCAGCGCCGAGCTCCGGGATCCCGACTCCGCCGGCGGGCCCTCAGCTGCCCTCTGGCGGCGGGAGCGGGCGGCGCCCACCTCCCGCTGACACCGCCGCCCGGGACACCAGAGGGCTGGGCCGGCTCCGTTCTCAGAGGTGGTGAGAGGGTGCGCAAGGACCCGGGCGCGGTGTCTGGCACCTGGCACACACCTGCCGTCATGCTGCCCAGTGTTCTTATTCTCCGAGGAAAATGCGTTCCAAAGAAAGTGTGCGCGTGTAAGTCCTGCGGTGGGGAAGGGGTGGGGGAGGGGTGGGGTCCTTGCATGGGGTCGGAAGCCCAGCCCGAACTGGGTCCCCCATGCCCTTGCGGCCGCTGAAGCAGCGGAGAAGCGCAGGGTCCGTGCGCCCGCAAGCCGGAGGCAGACCCTGGGCTGCCCTTCCCAAGTCCCGCCAGCTGGAGAGGGCAGCGGCCAGCGGAGGTGGACGGAGGGTGCAGTGGGCCCGCGGGCGTGCGCACGGTGACGCGCAAGGCGGGGCGGGGCGGGGCGGCCACGCGGGCTGCATATAAGGGCGGTGCTGGACGCGCAGAGCCAGAGCTTTTGTCCGAGATCCAGAACCCCGCTGAGCCCAAGCCCGAGCCGGCCGAGCCGAGCTCTGCCCTGCGCCCCCAACCACCGTCTGATCGTCTCCCGGCCCCGCGCCCGGCCCCCTCGGTTCCGGGACCCCTCGTCCCGGGGCGCGCGGGCTGGAGGCGCGGTCCGCGCGCCACGATGGGCGCTGGAGAGGTCAGCGTGCCCCTCGCGGCGGCCGGAGGCCCAGAAGTCAGCCCGCTTCAGCTGTCCCCTGCTAGCCCCCCTCACCCTCTCCTCTTCCGCTCTGTCCCCCGCAGGAGACGTGTTCATCCTGGTGTTCAGCCTGGACAACCGAGACTCCTTCGAGGAGGTGCGGAGGCTCAAGCGGCAGATTCTCGACACCAAGTCGTGCCTCAAGAACAAGACCAAGGAGGACGTGGACGTGCCCCTGGTCATCTGTGGCAACAAGGGGGACCGCGACTTCCACCGCCAGGTCGAGCCGCGCGAGATCCATCAGCTGGTGGGCGCCGACCCCCTGCGCTGCGCCTACTTCGAGATCTCGGCCAAGAGGAACAGCAGCCTGGACCAGATGTTCCACGCGCTCTTTACCATGGCCAACCTGCCGCGCGAGATGAGCCCGGACCTGCACCGCCGCGTGTCGGCGCAGCACTGCGAGGCGCTGCACCAGAAGGCGCTGCAGGGCAAGAGGCTGCGGCGAGCGGGCGGCGACCGCGACGACCGCGACGACGCCTTGGGCATCCTGGCGCCCTGGGCGCGCAGGCCGAGCGTGCACAGCGACCTCATGTACATACGGGAGAAGGCCAGCGGCGGCCAGGCCAAGGACAAGGAGCGCTGCGTCATCAGCTAGGAGCCCGCGCCCCACGCGGCCGCAGAGCCTCAGGAGGCCCTGTAGTTCAAGTGTTGGGGCCACGTGCCCCAAACCGCGGGCGTCTTCCTTCCCGGCGCCCCAGCCCATGCACCGGAGAGACTCAGCGAGCAGAGAAGGGACCGTCGTCTGCTCGGGAAGGAACGAGAACTGGCTGAGGCCCGACTCCCCCTACTTCCGACGCCCATTGGCGCCCACTACTCCGCTTCTCACAAAGCCCTAAAAATGGGGGCGGGGGTGGAAGTTAAGCTTGTCCTGCCGGCAGGAGGAGAGGGGCGTTATCTGTGTGATTGGGGGTTGCCATGACAGCTGGCCAGAAACCGAGGGTGGGGTCAGATCATAAGGAGTGACTTGTTTACATGTGTGTGCAATTGCACAAAGCAAAACATAAAACTTGCACTTTATTATAATAGAGTTCTGGTGTCACCCTGGACATGAACAAGATCTTACCTAGGTGTTTGCACTGCGTGTTGAGTCTTTAAAGTTATTGCTACTGGTTTTTTATTATAAAATAATTTAAAATGGAAAACCATGCTTCCTCTGGCTTTAGAAATGGGGGAGGAGGGAGGGCAAGTCTCTATTTCTGTGGAACTGGACTCGCTTTTCCCAGAGTTGGAGATTAACCCTGGCCTGAAAACGGCTCCCTGGAGAGAAGGCCCCAGAAAAGCTCCCAACAGCTGGAAGCCCTTCTGTTTGGGAGCCATTCCTGAGAAAGTCAGGACACAAATAAAGGGCTTCAGGGTTCAGCCATGCACTACCTTGCCCCCCCACCCCTGGCCCCCCCCCAAGGGCCTCCGGGACTGACCAGGTCCTATGCTCAGCACAGGCCCAGGGCAACAAAACACCACCAAACCTG